TATCTCTTTCATTGAGCACCCCAGACCCCCCCAGAGAAAGGCCATAAATTCCTGTCCTCCCTACACCCCCCATCTGTCCTTTACAGGAGCTCCGTCTATGATGAGTTAGCCATGATTCCGCATAATGTGTCTTCCTCATCAGCTTATGAGAAGGAATCTCATATTCTTCATCTTTGCATCCCCAGAACCTAGCAGAGTGCCTTGTACTTAGTAGGTTCTTACTAAACATGTTTTGAAGGTATGAAAGAATGATTGAATCATAAAGCACAGATGATATTAGTTTGTGTATAAAATCATTCAGTGTCATGATGGCAAGGATCTGGTTACTGAAAAAATACATGAGATATCTTAATCGATGCTTGGTAAGTCCTCAGCGCTTCGTACTATGTGCTGAATGACAGTGAACAGCCCTGAAGGCATCACTTTGATAACTTTTGTGATTGTCAGCATCACCTCCTTACCACAGTTGATAATCATGTTCAGAAATAAGATCCAGCTTATTAAGGGCAAAGCCACAGATGGCAAATCTAAAATGTCGTGAGAACAAAGGGATGCCTTAAGTGCAATAGTCTCCACCTTTGAGCCAGGTGGAGATGGGCAGGGGTCCTGTCGTTTCTTCAGCCTCGTCTCCTGCCTGTCTCTGCTCACACGCTCCTTTGCTTCTTTGCTTCTGCCTCAAGCTCCTCGTAGGCCCTTGAATTTGCCAAACACTTTGTTGCTGTGGAGACACGGGCACCTTTCTTTCCTTGGAGTCAGCTCCCCTCTCCGCTTTGGCCTCCCTTGCTTTGCTACCTTCAAGTCCTCTTCAGTCTTGGTTCAGATACGAATTCCTCTGAGACGTCACCCTTGTTTATGGGACAGCTCCCCTCCACCTTTTCCCATGCATTCTCCTGGCTCCTCTCAGGCATTGTAGAAGCCATCCGGAGTTCCGGTGTGAGGCTTCTTCCTTCTCGGCATGCCCAGCATCTCACTCCGTGCTGTGCCCCAGCCCCCAGCACAATGCCTGGTATACGTTGCATGGAGGAGGAAAGGAAAAAGGAGGGATGGAGAGAAGGAAAGGCAGACTCTAATGCCATACTGTCATTTTTCTTTTTTTTTTGAGACAGAGTATCGCTCTGTTGCCATGTGCCAGGCTGGAGTGCAATGGCATGATCTCGCCTCACTGCATCCTCCACTTCCTGGGTTCAAGCAATCTCCTGCCTTAGCCTCCCGAGTAGCTGGGACCACAGGTGCGTGCCACCACACCCAGCTAATTTTTTTGTATTTTTTAATAGAGACGGGGTTTCACCGTGGTCTCGATCTCTTGACCTCATGATCCACCCGCCTCGGCCTCCCAGAGTGCTGGGATTACAGGCTTGAGCCGCTGCGTCCGCCCATACTGTCATTTTTCTAATGTTAGTGGCAAATATGAAGTGCTCTTAAGTCAACCAGTTCAGGTCCTGGAGTCTCTCCTCATGTCTGAACGCTTAACTGGAGGTGATCCAAACATCACCATTTACTAAAAGGATACATCAATTCCTCGTACTCTCATATATTACAGACATCAGCTCACATATGATAATGGCAGCCTCATTAGAGGAGAAAATAAAGGGGAGAATGAGAGGGAGGAAGGAGAAGAGAGGCGGGGGGGGGCTGACTAATTATCTTTCTGACAAAGGGTAGAGAAAAACCACAGAGGGCAAGAGTTTGGAGGAGGCTGAATGGAGTTTTAAAGTCAGTTCTCTGGTCTTTCCTGTTGTTAACTCGATGCACACTGGGAGGTTGTTTGGGTGGGCAGAGATAAACGCCATGGAATGTCCTGGTTTGCTAACAACCTCCATACAACTGAATTTCATACCAGCATCATCTACTGTAAATACTTGATCCTGGAATGGCATGGCGACTTTTTAGAAAACCTTATAAAAGATGTAGATTATCTCAGGGCAAAAAGGTAAAAAATAATTATATCTTTAGAGGCCATTGCAAATTCCAGATGCTGCCACAGCTGTATTTTTAATATTCCAGCACTAGGACAAGAGCGAATCTTGCTATGTGCCTCTTATCTTCCCTCACATACCAATGCTGTCAATGCCATTGGCAATTTTACATGTAAATGAGCCCATCCATCACTCCTCACTCTGCAGCAACTCATTTCTAGGCCTGCCATAGAGTTACACCATTAAATCTCCCTGCTTTACAATATACATCATGACATATTTGACATCAATCAGCTGTGTCAGCCTGCTCACTGTAAACCATAAACTTGCTCTGCAGCCCTCCCTGCATGGGGTGATTAAACCCGCTTGGGGTAGCTTCCTGATTACAGTGATAAATGATGATTCATTTCCCACTCGCTCTTCCTCCACCTGTGCCTCGCCTCTGCCCCAAGCTCCTCCGCTTGCCTATTGGAGGAGGTAGTGGTCAGTAGGATGTGCACACTGAAATGCTGATTTGTACACTGAGTTCAAGCCCTGACATTAGCAATCACTGCTTAGGCCTAGGTTATGACTTTGCTATTTCTGAATGATGATGAGAAGTCCTTTTGTCCTTCTATGAGGACGCAAAAGATGAGGACTTATAGTTCTTCTAAGGAGAGTCCTCTTGCCTAATAGGGAGAGACCGACCAGGACAGCAATTCTCAACTCCCAGTGGTGGATACTGGCCACATAACCATCAGACCTCTATATAAAATGGGCAATTTCTGGCAGGTTAGCCATAACAACATCCCATCCCTACTGAAGAAAGCATATTGGAATTCACACGAGTGAAAGTGACATTATTACAAATGTAACTTTGAATCTGTTCTGATTTTTTAAAGTATTTCATTTGCAAACTTCAGTATTTCATTATTAGAAATAATAAATTACTTGTGACACACCGGAATATCACATCACACCATAAGCTAACTGTAACACACCAGTATATCATGACACTCCACTTGAAGTCCACTAGACTAGATGATGTCCGTGCTTTATTTTTCAGCAGGAAACCTGAGAGAATTCCAGCACTATGAGTAGATACTTCACTAGACTGATTAGGCCATTCATCTGGTCCCACTAAAAGTCCTTTTGCTCTTCCTTCTGTTGAGCCTGAGATAGCAGCAACTTCTGCTTCTTGGCACACTGACCAAACCATCTGCTGACCAGAGGAAGCAGCCTAGATCACGTGTGCACACCGGAATATCTCCTAAGCAATAAATCAGAGGGCTCTCCGGACCCAGTAAAATGCAGAGTAGTAAGAATTCCTTATCCACATTTACCCATTCGGACACAGGCCTGGTACCTGCCCACCTGCCACTCACGTCCATTCCTGTCAGTCTGTCTGCCTGGGTCTCCCTTTTCTAATGATCTCTTTCATCTACCAGAGTCCACGGTGGTTTGTCCAGATTAGAGGGTGCAGACCCACCTGGAAAGAGCAGAGCAGAGGGCTGTGCTATTGCTATACTGCCACTAATCAGATTCAGTGTCACAGCACTCTTTGGGTGTCCACAAAAAGGTAGGGCTTCTTTAGGGTGGGTGGCAGGGGAGTGGAAAAAAAAACTGAGGGAATGTGAGCAAGGTGGGGACAGGGAGTCAATGTGTTTGGGGCATTCAGCTGGTCTCATGACGTGGGAGGAGGAGGTGGAAGAGAAAGGGAGGAGGAGAGAAGCCTTAAGCAGGGGAGGGGCAGGAGGGGAACAAAGGAGAAAGTTAGCTTCTTGCTTTCATTCCTGGGACATCCAGAGTAATGAACCCTCTTTCTCGAGAAGACGAATGGGCAGCTGTAGAGATTATGAGTGAGGTTTTATTGCAGATCGATAAATCTGTGTCACCGATCCCCATCTGGAGGGAGTTTTAATTTAAAGGAAAGAGTGATGAGTTCACAATGCCAATAAATCAAAAAGTTGTGTATTCACATATGCATTAACCTTCTATCAAAACATACATCCACGTCAAGGCAGGAGCTTGGAAACAAATCTCGTAGGTGATTTCGAAGGACAGCTGGCGGAGCCCAATAGCTCACCTACCTTCGGGACAGTCAGAGGGGCTGCTGTCTCACTCGGCACCCTGGCCCACGTCTTTGACAAGAACTGAGGGGGAAGCCGAGGATTTATATTGGTGCCGTTAGCAGAAATTGCTGGTTGTCACCAGACGACAGCTGCCTCAGATCAAAATCAGGAAGAGTTCTCCAAAAAGGAGAAAGGAGATTTCACAGCAACAAAACTGAGATAGCAGCTGACAAAAAAGTGGGGAGAGGAGGAACAGATCGAGGGAATCCAGAAACCTGTATTCAAACATAGTTTGAAGTGTTGGGCATAACTGTGAAATCTGCCCGCCGATCTCCCCCATGCTCCCTGGTAGCCCGGTCTTATACCGGTGGCCTCACTGGGGCTGTAGCAGTAATCAGTGGCTCCGTGAGGCGTGGCCAGGGACTGATGCCAGCAAATCCCCTGGGACAGGGAAGTCTGGATGCACAGCAGCAGCTCTATGACTTGAAAAGGTGAATCAGACACAGTGTTAATCAGCTACCCGACACCTCCCAAGAAAGCCAGCAGTGTGGGGAGGAGGGCCACTTACTGGCTTACTAATCAGCACCCTTGTTGCATGATATACCTATCACTGTGCTATTCTTTCAAAGACTTTTGTAGAAATCCTGGAAGGGACTAAAGAAATTAAGTGTTTAGCATCTATCACCAAACCAATCAGTCAGTCCATCCATCAGTATCTCTCTCTGCACATGTCTTGTAGATGTAGAATAGTCTACGTATATCTGCTAATTCTAATCTATCCACCTATTGCACATGCATGCACCAAATCCTTTATTTTCTAGTTCATAAAAAGTGTGCTACATTTCTATTCACATTAGCATTGCTAGGTAGGTATGATGCATCTTCTATTATTGATGAGAAAATTGAGACTTGAAATGATCAAGAAGCTGGGATTTTAGCCTCGGTGTCTCTGACCCCAATAAGTTTTTTCTTTTGTCCCGCCAGTCTCTGGATGTGTTTGTGTATGTGCATGGGCATACTTCTTCGTACTTGACCCCTTTCTTTCTAGCCTAATTCTGAATATTCCCCCTCCTGTATGTGCTGCTTCTCAGGGATGACTTGTCAAAGCTTTGCACATGCTGCCTCTCACAGCTAGAAACGCTCTTCTCCCCACACCCTATGTGATGCGACTCACCCTGAGATACCCAGCTCATGACCACTCCTCTGTGACCCTTGCCTAGATCAACACCCACTCCACTGAACACAGCTAATTTTCCTTCATTTGTACCTTGTATATATCTCCATGAGAGCATTTAAAATTTTATTGTATTTATTTTTTACATATATGTTTTCCCTATGTTCACTGAGACTATGTCTTAGTTACACTTATGCTAGGCAGTGTGTGTGGCCCATTTTAGTTGCTTTTCTGAAGGTGGCTGGAAGGATATTTTTCACTAATGTTTTAATGAAGGAAAATGAGTTTTGATCAAACAAATAATCGAACAAATATAAAGAGAATCCCAGTCCCTGAAGGTATAACTGGACTGTCAATTCCTGATTATCTTAGGAATCTGTGCAAACTTTATAAACCAGAGAGTTTCATCAGCCACCTACTGCCTTCTTCCCCTTAAGCCATCAACGTGTATCAATTCATGAACATAGCATTTCTAGGGCTCAGATAATAAATCCCATTTCAAAGATAAGTAAAGTAAGTCCTAGAGAAAGCATGGAGCTCTCATGACCCAGTGAGTCACCTGTCCAGCCAAGTCAGAGCCCTAGACTTGTGAATTGTTACCACTGAGCCTTAGCTCACTGATCTTGTAAATCAAATTCAAGGAAGGATGTCTCTAAAACATTCACCTCCACTTAAACATTTTGTTTCCCAAACCTTCTGCTGAATACATTGAAAGTGATAGTCACTTTTAGAGAAAATCGTGACATCATTAATAAACTTTCCCATATCAACCCATACTATCTGAAGACTCCAGTCGTAGTCTTTATGCAAATAACTTCATATAAGATCATGTCTGAAAGGTATAAAGGGAGAAAATACAAAGAAGACACAATAAAAGCAATAAAAGTATTTACCAAATGCCTAATAGGTGTCAAAGACTTTTCTAGGCACTGAAGACAGTGGTGGGTGCCAGCTCTGGGAGACTTGCCTTCCATGTTAACATCTCTGTTCCAACAGCCACCATGAACACTTACTGAGATCTTTCTGTGGGACAGGCATCCTTTTTAGTGCTTTACACATCCGACACTGGGAGCAGGCGCTCTAGCCCCATTGCGCTGATGATGAAACTGAGCACGCATAATTTGATTACTAGCCTAAGGACACAAGGGGATGGCCAGCCTGAATGCAGAGCCCAAGCTGCCAGTTCTTCTCTGCAGTGTTCCTCCTATTTGCTGTTTCCTCTCTGTTCTCAGCACTACTTTCCTCTTTGGAGAAAGCTTTCTAGATTTTGAAGCTGCCTTGTAGCTTCTCTCGTCGCCATCCCTCTCTCCACTCTCATGCTGCTGTAGCCAGAATGGTTTTCCAAAAAAGATAGTGCCTGTCTTCAGATAACCTTTAAAAGCTTCCATTACCTATCAAATAAAGCTTGAATTCCCAAGCATAGTATTCCCGGCCCTTGATGACCTGGACAAATTCACATTCCCAGTCTTTATTCCGTAATTTCTATGACGACTCCTTCTAGTCACAGGCGTGGGGTAGGCAGGGCCTTTGTCCTCTGTGCTTTTCCTGGGACTGAACTGTTCCTTCTCTTCTTAGCTGACTGCCCTGCATTTCTTCCAAAGATTAGCCTAACACACTTTTCCCATGAAAAGCCTTTGACCTTGTGCCTCCTGTAATCCAACTTCATGGCTCCATTCACCGTGAGCTCCCAGTGCTTTCTTTATATCCCCATGGCAATATTTATGTCCTAATAACTATTTGGTAGTGCTTTCTGTGTTTTTGTGAACTTAAATGCAGAGACTGTGTAACTCATCTTGTAATCCCGCAGTGCTTAGCACCATGCCTGGAACCTAATAAGAAATCCATAAATATCAGTTGAATTGGACGGGTTTTTCTAATATCAGACAGTGTATGGCATCTGTGACGTGACTGATATGGTGTGATGTGTGTGACGAGCATTAGACCTGGAAGCATAAAAGCTGGGAACCACCCCTTGCTCTGCCACTGGCTTCCTGTGTGTCACTGGACAAATTCCCTCTCCTCTCTGGGCCTCATTACCCCATCTAAAATGAGAGGGGAGTGCAGACAATATACATTATATTACATTACAGTTTAAAATCCTCAGCAACCTTTCTCATAATCTGTACATATTTAATAAATATTTGTTGAGCGCTTTTTCTCTTCCAGACACTCTACTAGGCTTCAGGGATGTGGAAGCAAAGACAGACTCTGGAACTGAGAGGCTCACACGCGGTTTTCATATCAACATTGCAGTCTAAGTGAGGCAATGATTAACCACAGTTACTTTTTCAAAAGAAAAACTCAAGTCCAGAGAGCTTCAAATTTTGTGATTATTAGATATTTTTAAGATTCTGGGTCATAGCAATTCAGTGCATATAACCAATTATTTATAATTTGCCCCACAGTGGAAAACAAATTTCTTCAAAGAAGGTGCACTTAGTCTTATAGGAAAACTCAATTACTGCACGGAATTTAGCAGGTAATCTAATTTACCTCATTGACCACCTTTTAAAAGAATGTTGTCAAGTCAATGCTGTTTCATGTTTTCATGCTTACGTAAAGTTACAATGGAGAAAAGGAGCAAAATTTCTGCTAACGACACTAAATTGAAACGATGGATGTCAAATCTGATTTTCCCATAGAAAATATGTTATCGAGTGATTATATTCCTTATCGAAAGTGTGATGTCCAAAATTTTATAGGCATGACCATAAACATTGTGTTTAATTTTCTGCAAACAATAAAGCTATATTCTTTTTTAAAGCATAAAACTTTCTAAATCCATTTGCTCCATTAAATTTAATAAACATCCCGAGCAATACAAGTATATAAGAATCTCTGATAGTCACTGCTGGCAAAAGAAATGTGGATAAGATATTGTTCTTTCACTGGTAGTTTTGTTCTATTATTGACAGGAAAGAAGTGTACGAATATGCTGAAAGTCAGAAAATGCTAAGTTTCTTAAAGAAGAAAGAACATGAATTAACATTATTGATCATTTGCTATATTCCAGGTGCTATCGTAAGTTCTTTCTGTTAGTAGAAACTAGTATTATTGCCCCTGCAAGGCGTGTTTTAGTATTAGAGTAGTGTAAACTTTAAAAAAAATTAAGTAATAAAGCTCTACTTATCTGGGTCCAAATTCTAATATAAGTCTGATAACTGTAAATCTTACGTTTTTCATGTTTGAGAGTTTACATACTTAGACACACACACACACCCCACCTATCCATGTAGGATGAATAAAAAGAGGCCAAAGAAGACTTCTTGTGGGAAAAGATATATACACTGGGCATTGCTTACAATGGGTGGAATTTTGGTGAATCCATAATAGAGGGGAAATTGCTGTAGGAAAGGACCAGAGTAAAAGCAATGACAGAAGGAATCATAGTATATGCTCATGAAAAGGCAAGCATTTCAGTTGGGTTGGAAGTGAGGGCTGGTCCTGACTTCATGTTTATTCCATGTTAGGTGCTGGGGCTACAGTGAGGAAGATGATCATGATGGCCTCTGCTTTATAGAAGCAGATATTATAATATGAATGTTTTAGTCTGTTTGTGCTTCTTTAACAAAATACCTGAGAGTGATTAATTTATTAAAAAAAAACAAAAAAAAAACCCAGACATTTATTTCTCACACTTCTGGAGGCTGGGGTCCAAGATTCAGATGCCAGTGGGTTTAGTGCCTGATGAAGACTCTGTCTTCCCTTCTAAGAGAACACCTGTGGCCGCATCCTCCAGAAGGAGGTATGCTGTGTCTTCCCATGGCAGGAAGGACAGAAGGAGTGAAAAAGAGTCATGGCTACTCCCTCCAGCCCTTTGACAAGGCACTAACACACTCATGAGGGTACAGCTTTCATGACTTAATCACTTCCCTGACACCAGCACAGTGGGAGTTAAGCTTTAACACATGAATTTTGGAGGAGACACATGCAACTCACAGCAAGAGAGACATAGTCGGTGCCCTGGGAGTGGAGGGAAGGGAATGACTGATGCTGTCAGGTTGCGTGAGAGAAGACGTTGCAGAGGACATAACCCTTGCTGTGGGTTTTGAAAGATGATGAAAACTATGTCACGTGAGCAAGGAGGTGCTGAGGTGCATGGGATGGGAAAAGGAAGGCTAATCCTGGCATAGGGGATGGCAGGACCAAATCCAGAGTTCTCACTGGGTGTGGATGCTCAGGAAACTACTCTTGCCCTTTGTGGCACAAAAACTTGGTGCATGCAAAGAGGAAGAAGGTGAGGGCTTGAGATAGCGCAGAGCAGGCACAGGAAACAGCAGGTGTCACGCTTATGAGCGTGCTCCGACCCCCTCAGCCATGCCTCAATAAATAAGCTGGACTTAACTTTCCTGGCAAAAATAAGGGTATCATTAATGGCTTTTATTAGAAAGTGTGAGGGTCAGAGCTGTACTTTGGGAAGAGGTGTGTAGGGTAAGAGGCGAAAGAGAGAGATTAACTAATTAGTTGTTCTGCTAGTTTGGGTGAGAAGCAATAAAATACCAAACTAGGTTGCAGGTGCTGGAGACGAAAAGGAGTGGTGAAAAATAACAAAGTTAAAATCAACAGATTATCAGGCCTGAGAGACAGAATTTATGTCAGGGCAAGGAAGACAGAGCTGGTAATATTGTGAAGGCAATTATAGATGCAAGACGAGATTTTTGGATAAATAGTCAAGGCTGGAAACAGATTTAGGCATCATTCCCACAGAGGTGATAATTGGACAGTGGGAGGTGATGAGAACACCAAGGGAAAGAATGTATAAAAAGAAAAGAAAGGACAAGAGAAAGGTTGGGGACAGAACTCCAGAGAATGCCTTCACTTGGGAGAAAGACAAGGTGGAGGAGTCCTCAAGGAGCAGAAGCCAAGCAGCCAGGGCTGAGGGAGAAAGGAAGGTCAAGGTCTGGAGGGCTAGGAAGATGGATTTCACAGAGAGGAGTGGGCAGTGGCTGGGAGCAAGTGCTGCAGAAAGGAGTAAGTTGGCTTGAGATTCAGCCAGTTCGTTTGATAATTAGTAAGTCAGTGATAAACGTCAAGAGAGGAGTTTACGAGAAGCAAACAGGTGGCAAAAGATGCAGAAGCATGGAGATGCCAGGGACCTCGGTGTAGAATGTCCTCTCTCAGTTATGTTTGTCAATGAAGGAAGAAAACACCCACAAATTGAATGAGGGTGCCCTCCTGCCATACAGGGAAAGTCTCATTCAAAGGTCCCGTATTTGCTACCTCAGCTCCGTGATGTGTCTGGAGGTGGAGGATGCCAGGTAAATGATGTGCTGGAATTATTTGCCAATGTCTATGGTCCTTTTGGTCCTCAACAATCTGGAGCTGGGCTGCCTCTATCTGCTCATAATCACACCCGCAACCCATCAGGCTCTCTCCTGAGGAACGGGCACCCTTTCTCAATTCTCAACAGTAGCAAAGGGAGTTGCACAGCACAATGGATAAAGCTCAATCAATAATCCGAGGCAATTACATAAAGTGGGGGAAAATAACACTGTGTTTTTGTTTCTCACTTTCTGTTCACAGTTTCTCAGGCTATGACTATTTGTTAGCCGTACAGAATGCAGTGAGGAAGGTTAGCATAGCACTCTGCTTGCACGAGAAAGCAGCCAGGGCTTTCGGCACTCCCTGCACATACAGACCATTGATCAACAGACAAGGTCAGAGCTGCAGATGGCACAGGGAGAGAGCTTAGCAACTCACCCTCGCAGCCCTACCCCCCGACCCATCACTGCCTGGCAATCTTTCCGTCCTAGCTAGGGTACTCTGGGGACTGCCAATCCTCCAGGCTCTGGAGAAGGGTGCTACTTATGGGGATGGGTGGTGTGTGCCCTCCTCCCTGAAGGCATCCCAAGAGTGGGGGGTGCAGAGATGGAGGTGATAGCAGGGAATTATGGATTCTAAGGGAGAGTAAATGGCAGCAGATAAAACCCCAAGTAGCTGAAATGCTGTTTTCATGCAAATGCCCCTAAGTAAAATGAAAAGAGGCAGGACAACGCAGGAGGAAAAGAGACAAGAAAGGAATCCAATAGGAAAGCTGAATTAATTCTAAATGGGGGAATTTTCTGAGAGGCATTAGCCACTCTTGAAGAAAATGAATAGGCTCCCTCCCCACATGTATTAAATGCCTATGATTCTCTAATTTAGGAGCTTTTCATTGTCAATTGAAAGACGGAAAACTTCAGGTGTATTTCAGGAAAAGAGGCTGTCTCTCACCTATGTATTATAATGCTCAGAATTAGTTTTTTTTAAGGATTTTAATTTTTTTTTATTATACTGCACTTAAAAAAGATTACACAAGGCATGTCTCCCTGAAATACCCTCTATCAGAATGAGTTCTTGGGGGGGGGTCAGATGAGGAGAAATTTCCTTGAGGGGTCAGAGGTAACCAGGTCTGTGTGGGTGGTACAGCGCTGGGGTCATGGACTCTGCCTCGGGAAAGATGTGCCCGGCTCACATGCTGGGGAGTGAGTGGTCAAGGGGAATGAGAGAAAGGTTCAAGACGTCAGAACGTGTTACGTGAAGAGCACGGGTTTGTTCAAGGCGGCCTGGCTCCAGTGCCATCAATAATTGAATAGGTCATCTAGCTGTGCTTTCCTCATTTACAATTTCACATTAGGAATGGTTTACCTCCCTTCTGTACCATGAGGATGACGCGGGATACAAGCATGAAAATATGCAAGAAAAACAGTGTTCTAAATAGCAAGATATAAACAAAGGTGCCAATGTGTTTGAAAGAGGAACTGAATGTCCCTTGGTCATTTTAAAAAGTGAAGTCACCCTGTGCTATGGCAAAACTGCCGTAGGATCTATGTCTGCATGCCGAGTGGAACACAACCTCTAAGGGGACACTGAGGCTTCCGTGGGGGAAATACAAAGTCCCAACGTACAAAAGGAGTGAATGGGGAGAAGGGATGGGCCCCAGGACAGGCTACCAGCCTTTACTCTAGCTCAGGGAGGACCTAGGCATCTCATCTGGGCTGCTGGCCACTCAGTATGGCAACTCCAAAAGCACAATTGGTTCAAATGAGCTGCCCTACACTTCAGAAGGACACATACTTTCTACCCATATCTGCTGTGTTCTCATTTAAAATTTGATCTTCAGAAAAAACCATTCCTCTATTCTTTCTCCTTGACTTGGTAAAAGTAGTTCACGTGGGTCACAGCAGGTTTGATTTGATGCAGAGGTGACTCACTGGGTGTTGTGTAAAAGTGCTAATCTTCCCACAACCACTTCTGAATTCTTAAATTCCTCTGACACATTAATTCTAACCCCAGCCCCAAATGCCCCAACATCTCTGAGAGTCCCAGAACGGAAATTATAGCAATTTCCTATAACCAGAATCAAATTCCAAGGTTGGAGAGCAGGGGCCACGTCCTACTATTAATTCAAACATCCATGTGAAAGATTATGGTGGGCAGCTGTGATTCCATTAAAGGGGGCAATTTCAACTCCATTTCCTTGATAAACAGACACAAGCTCACCCCTAAATTGGGCTTGATAGATTTGATTAGGGTAGGGTTTTTGGAGGTTGTGATGTCTGCAGGAAAATTGCTGTTTGACGTGCAAGGCCAAATTGCACTTGAAATCTCCTTGCAACCATAGAGAGGGGGAGAAGGAAGAGGATGGAACACCTAGCCAATTGCTATCATCCAAGCAGCAGGGGAGTCAAGCTGTTGTATTCAAAATATCTGTTAGGTATGCAGCCAGTGTGTGCTGCAGAAAGCATGCCAGGCTCAGGGGAACCAATGATTAAAAGCAGCAAAACCAAGTGTTATTTAAACAAAGCGAAATGTACTCATCCAATTTTTTAGCCTATATGAATCTGTTTCAGGGAGGAGAAAAGATAAGTTACTTCTTTTGGAGACTCTTGTGGTTCTACGTTTCACAATTCCCATTGAGAGCCTTCGGGCCACGAAGAGATAGAAGGTGAGGCTCACAGCTTTAAAGCACACCCTCCAGTCACAAACACAGAATGATGGGTGAAATGGAAGTAAAACCTGTTAGCCTGGCCGGGCGGGCGTGGTGCCTCACACCTGTAATCCAAGCACTTTGGAGGCCAAGGTGGGCGGATCACCTGAGATCGGGAGTTCAAGACCAGCCTGACCAACATGGTGAAACCCTGTCTTTAAAAAAAAAAAAAAAAAAAAAAAACCTGTTAGCCTGCTTGGTTTTTCAGTAAAATGGGAAACTTCACTTGTTTAGGTCAGTTCCACCAGATGAGGCAATGGGGATTGCAATGACTTCTTTAACCCCTGTTCTTGGATTCCAAAAGTCATAAACCTTTCGTGCTGGAAAATCTGTTTGCTTTGTAATTACCTGTACTTAAAAGAGAGCTTCAATTCCTTCAGCATCATCCACTCTGCTGGCCTGGCGCCATGTGTGGGGATCTGAGATTGAGGATCTAGAGTGCGCTGAGAACCACGCCAAGTGCTTTATGTGCATCATCTCCTCACATCCTTCAATAATTTTGGGAATGTTTACAGTTTTCCCATTACCAAAGAAAGGCAAGGAGTTTCATAAAAGTTGGAAAAATTGTGTGAGGCCTTGTAAGTGGACAGAAGTGGCCTACGATGCAAACTAAAATCGTCCTGACAGCAATGTCCAAAGGTATTCCATCATACTGGGCTGCCACCATAGCTGACCCTAGGGTACTGGGACTCTAGCTGAGACCACACCAACTCAGACATGCTGATCTTCTATTTCTCGTGTTGCGCTCACCTTACAGGTCCTCTCCTATGCCCACGCCTCCTGGGGAAGACAGTCTGCTTGGTATTACTGCTTGGATCAGCTGTCATTGGATTTAAAACTCCAGAACCTGCCTCCTCAATTCTGGTTGACAGATATAAATCAACTCTCCACTGAGCCACGATGTATTTGGCTGGCACCAAATCCAAAGCCCCTCTAGTTTTCCTGTGATGTTCAGGGGCCTTGAATTGCCTTCCCTCTTTTCCAACCTAGACCTCTTCATGAATCCTACCCTACATATGGCCCACACTTTACCTGAGGATATAGAACAAATAAATAAATTCCTTTTTGATGTGTCTGTGAACCTGCAGTATTCCTTCTTGATGCAATGAGTGAAGAGGCCCACTAGCTCAAATATGACCATTTCCTGATGTGGTCCCAGGAGCTAGACATCTAAGAATTCTCTACAGAGGATTACATCCCAGGCTGACTCTGTGCATTAGTATGGGACAGTCTGAGGATGGATTATACAGGATGGGCCTAATTAGAGTGAGTTAGGGTGGGATATAGTATGTATGGCTATATTCATCTTTCAAGATGTACACTCTTAATTGATTCTAAAGGGTGAGAGATATTAGTTATAAACAATGAAGTCCTGTACTACACAAAAAAGTTAACAAACAACAAAATGCTTTACTAAAAGTTGCTGGCAAATTTGCTGTCTGCTCTTTTTTTCTCTTTTGGAATTTTAATCAGCAATTAATTGAACAAATATTTACACTAAGCTAATTGCTGGAAATGCATTGTTGATTAAAACAGACATGGACACTGCTGTCACGGAACATAGCAATCGAATAGGGGAGATATTGAACAAGCAGTTGAAAGTTCACTGGGCGTTACCATCTGCTTCCTGAAAGCACCTAAATAACCCAAGGCAGGTGCCAGTGCAGATGGTTATTATCCATCTACAGGGAAGGAGGTTACAGACATCTTAAATGACCCAGAACGATATCTCTGAATCAATAGAGTTGCAGATGTTCTGTCTATATCATATTTGATATTCACACCTTAGTAGAAACGGACAATGGCCACATACTGTTTTACGGATACAAATCAATAGCTCTTAAATTGTTTGAGGTGGAGGAATAAAGAAAGTTTATTGCGTCTCCTTTTAAAAGTCAGGAAACCTTAAAATCAGCACTAGCCATAGTACACAGCACATAGTAAATGCCCAATAAATATTTGTTAGAAGGATCGGTTGAAGAATTGAATCTGCTTTGTAGTCAGGCTTTAGACTCCTCATCCTTGCCACCTCTGCTACCATGTCCTTCTTCTGGGGGAAGCGAGACTGTGTGTGTGTGTGGAGGGGGGGCAGATGCATAAAGCAATTGGAAGATTCTCCATCTCCCCTCTTTCCTAGATGTTGTTCCCTTGCAGGAGAAGAAAAGAGAACTGCAGCACTGTGCCAGTTCTCTGCCACGTCCATGATGACAACAGTGACTGGGAAGAGGAACAGATAGGTGCTCAGGGGATCCTGCAGACTGTAGCCCACACACCTACACACACCATCAAGACGGAGATCACAAGGACCATGCTACAGCAAACCTTCAGTTAATTTCTTCTACCCTGACACCCATTATTACGACCCTTTTCTTGTTTAAGTCTTGTATCAATATGCTTGGCTAATTTTTTTTTTCTGCCCAGCTGCCAACCTTGGGCAGTCGAACATCTGGTGTATCCCCAAAGGGCATTAGACCATTATGAAAGGAAAATTGATTCTTTTTTTAATTTCATAAATCAGCCATCAAATGAAAAATGTCATTTTAAATTACAAACACAATGAGCTGAATGCGTGGCTGCTACTCGTGGACAAGCGGAATTATTTATGACTGCTTAAAATTTGTGGAGGGGCCATTGTAGTTTTAATTATATGATACAAGGTGAGATGATTATTTACTGGTGCTGACATGGAATTGCCAATAATTACTTAATATCTGTGGGAAATTATTCAACAGTTTTTAATTAGTGATACATACTAAAGTAATTGTTATTTTCCAGTGAATATAAAAATCCATCTGTGAGAAAAGACACCTGGGAGTTACATTAGTAATTGTTCTAAAATGCATTATTGATTTATACACATTACCATTACCATACTTTGTGTTATTACTTTTCAATATTTATGGGATTCTTGCCTTCATCAGCAAAAGAACATAAAAGTAAGTAACAACACCCAGGGTGGGTCATCAAGTAGACGAAAAGGCACATCTTTGCACAGGTCCCATTTGTCTTAGATTTCCTTTGATTCTATCAAGAAGAAACAAATGTGTCTCCATAGTCACACTCAAATGCTCTTTGTCCACCTAGTGTCTTCATTCCATTATCAATTCCTAGAGGGCAGGAGCCAGGTTTTATTTTTTTAGTGCTTGCTGCATCATGTCCTCCGTTACAGAGTCCCACCTAGAGCAAGTGTTCTATCAATCAAAGTATGTGGAAGGAGTGTGGAGCAGAGACAGTTGTCAATCTGCCTTTCACTGTTTTATTGATGTCCTTTTACTCACCCTTGAAAACCACAAGGAAAAAACAATAAAAAACGTGTCTCACTAGTTAGTAATAAATGATCTCGAGTCATTTACTTGCTGTAAAGATTACTCAGGAAAACCATTACTTGCTAAACACATTATTCAGAATCTTTTTTGTGCTAAAAATCATTTAATTAGGATTACATTATTAGAGGCTTCTAAGTATTAGTATTTCCTTTAGTTAGCCTTTAAACTATTGAGTGTTTCAGTAAGAAAACAAAAGGAAGAAAGATATTTCTATTTCATCATTTGTTAAATATTTCTGATGAATTGCTCAGGATCACTTCTGACTATTTGTAAGTGTAATAAATGCAACTCCTACACTGACTTGTTAATGCCACTCTCTCTAGGAGGAAGGAAGAACGGGAGGGATCCTCCTGATAGATCAGGCATTGCCGTCATTGGTGCATGACAGGGAACTGGTGGGACTAAGCTATCCTCCCCAGGGCCCTACCTGCGCCAGCTCCAGCCTCTCACCTCACACCTGTGCTGATGCCGAGGCCATCCCACATTACTGATGAGCTCCTGTGTCTCTCAGCTCCAGATGCACCCTCTCTATTCTGCCTTGTGATGTTGAGGCTGGGCCTCTACACACTCCATTTCTTTGCCAGCTGGTTTCCTGTTGGCCTCCTCAGAAGGGGTCATTAAGAAGAGTGGAGGACAGAAAAGGAGACAGGGACACCCCTTTGTGTTGGCCTGCTGTTCCCGTGGCACCTTTCCTGCAAAGGCCCTTCGTGCTGGCAGCAGTCACTAGTTCCCGGGGTAGGGAGTTCTGCTTCCATCTCTGCTTCCATCTTCCTTCCACACCTACGATTCGCTCTCATAGGAAGCAGCAGCAGCAGCAATGCCCCTCCCGAGAGGCCCAACTCCCAGCTCCGCGTGACTCTCCTGCCTGCTCCTGAGACAACAGCACAGCCAGGCAACAGCCTGTACTCCTGAGAGGGCTGCCCCCGCCCCATGCAGGGCCTCTTCCACAGGTACAAGTTCCAGTTTCTGACCATCTTAACCTCCTCCTTTGTTTCCCCAGCTGCAGGAGGGCTTTGCTATTTCGTTTTGCCCTTCCAATCCTTCAGCCTCTTGTGGCCAGTTCCCTAGATTTCCCCTGGGAAAAATAACAAGTGCGGGTTATGCCTTCCTGTTTGGCACTGACCATTATACCTCTACACACATGCTGGCTGGCAGCCGAGTGCCCTTGCACACGACTTCCTCAGTCTAAAACGTCTTTTCCTCTTCCTCCCATCTGGAATATCTTATCCACTTCCATGCTGCAGCTCAGGCATCATTTACTCCAAGAAAGTGATCCCTCCACACTGGGCAAGGCAGGTCATCTCTGTGGTTCCGGAGCACCCTGTGCATTCTTGCCATGGTGGCAGTCATTCCATCACTCTGAGAGTTCTGTGCTCCTGCCGCCCCCCCGCCCCTCCCCCTAGTCAACTGCTCCTGCAAGGCAGTGTCATGACATGAACCATTACATTGCCACCACCTCGGGCAATGCCCAGCACAGAAAGAAAATGCCATAGATATCTGCTGTCTGTCCTGAACTTATGGGCACTGGCGCTGTACTGGCGTAGATGGGAATTAAACTCCTACAAGGGTCTCCCATGCCTCTGTGGGACCAGGATTCTTTTGGGGACTCCCATTATGCAAACATCCATGCTGCATCCTGAGAGAGTAGTGTTTGGCTATGAGACAGGCTAATAAACAGGAGCACTGAAGGGCAGCTTAGAGGCAATCAGCTGTCATTTCCACAAGCTGCATATCAAGCATTTGACTTTATACCAATAGTGTATTTAAGGAGTCCTAAAATACCACTATTCCCTTTTTAAGTGACGCTGAGTAAATAGCACATAACAATAATATCTCCCACTTATTAAACATGTATTAGGAGCGCCTGGGCACTGCACTCACTCATTAAATCCTAGCAACAACCCTATAAGGAAGAAATTATTATCCTATCTTTCAAATGAAGAAGAAGAGATACAAGAGGGCTGGGATTAGGCTGCTGTGAGCGAGCCTTCACCACTGGAGTGAAATTTAAGTGGGTGAAAAAAAGTCAGCCATTGAGATGCACACTTTAATCCAATACTTTCAATGAAAAAGTCAAGAATAAACAAGAGGTGAGCATTTTAAATAAAGACCTCATCACTAATTTTTTTTTTCCCCCTTTGGCTACAGGGTCCAAGAAGGAGCATGGCTGAGCACTTTGTAGCTTGCCCAGGGCTGCCCCTCCAGGGAGTAGAGGCACGGACATGTAGGTTCAGGTTCCCCTAACTCCAAAGCCTTCGTTACCCAGCACTCCCTGCAGTAATGGGTGGCCATCATATATTCTCTCAGAGGCCGTTACATACAGCAGCTTTCTCACGGGGCTTTTCTTCTGCAGCGGCCAAAGCACATGCATGCTTTTCACATGATATGTGGAGCTCACCACTGTTCTAAATTCCACACAAGATATCTCTGCTTTTCGAAGTCATGCATTCTAGGACAATGTGTCTTAAAAACGACTTCTAAAAGGTACAGTTTTGCCTGTATATGCACTACTCATTTATTCATTCAACACTCA